ATTCAAGCTTACACAGGAGACCATCGATGCGCTTATTGAGTACCACAAGGACATCTACTCGGTTGATGTCTCCGCCAGCACCTGGGAGTGGGCTGAGAAGGAGCAACAGTTGAAGAAGCTTCAGGATGGATTTGTCCAGGCCGTAAACCGCTACGTATTCCGCACTGGTGTCAAGGCTCTGGAAGGTCTGGAGGAAGAAGGCGCGGGAGAACTACTCGAGGGACGAGGTGAGGACGTCAAGAGCGCCATCATGGGATTGTTCCTCCCCCTTCTTCCCCCTCCTCCCAGGATCGTCGATGTCGTCCGACCAGCACCCCTCCTCCCAAGCTCGACTGCCTCAGCCAACTGGTGGGTGCCAACACAACAGATGCACCCGTCGCACTCTGCCCCAGTCGATGCCTGGAGGGTGGTTCCTTCGACCCCCAGCCCTACCATTGCTACCTGCGGTGAAACTGGACCTTCGTTCTGGAGCACCATGGGAACCATGGGCTTCGAGGCCATTCAGCTTCCTTCGCCAACTCCTTCCTTCAGCCAGCCATACAACTCGACGAGCCCCTACGCACAAAGTACCAGCCCATATGCGCCAAGCACCAGCCCGTACACTTCGAGTTCGTATTACAGCCCGCCCCCGGCATCGGCACCAATCCCAGCCCTTCCTCTGCCGAGCGTCTTGGCCCAGCAATGCGGGTCAAGCGCCGTCCACGGAGGATTCGGTGGTTTTGGATGGGATACTGGATTTGCACCACAGTACGCAGCCTTCACATAAGTTGGAAGGCGCTTATGCTGTGGTACATATATCTGATCTCTGTCGATGACGGGAACCGCGGACCTGGCCAGTCCCCCCAGATGTTCCCCTCATATGCTGGTTGCCAGCGCACCAACCTTGCGACACCCGACACGAGACGAAAGCGATATTCACGACATGATGCTGAACAAGCAGACATCATTACCAAACCAGCATGGGACGGCGTTTTTCATCGATTTTTAGCGAGCGTCATTTTCTCCTCTCTTCTCGTACATGTTCTCTTTTGATACCTGATTTTCTTGATTTGTCGAGTGCTTTTCTCCTTTTTTTTTAGCGAGCGATTTCTCTTTTGTTTCTTCATTGCACAACACGGCCGGACCAGGTCTTTTCTTTACTGAATACAGCATCTCTGGGAGGTATGCATGTCGGGCATTTTAACGGAAGACGGTAAACACAGCCTCACGGCTCACGAGGTCAGGCACACTCGCATTGTTTTTTTGTTTTCTTGTTTTTAATGTCGTTTTCCTCCTGGACGGGCGCGCCATCTCTTCGTTGAGCCAGTGGCATGCCATGACTCTTACGAATTTGACGCGATCAACGTTCACGAACCTGCCTACTTGGACTGACATTGAGTGTCAGCTGGACATGCCGAGGGGCGACGACAAAAGTTATACATGCATCTGCGATGCCGCTGTAATAGCTCGTCTTTGTTTGCTGAAGGGGAACTGAGTCGGAAAGGGGGAAGCAGTTGGGCAGGGGTCGAGACAGGAGTACGTCTGTGGCGTCACTGACTCTAGGGAAGTGGTCCTCTGCTTGCGGAGCAAACGCTTTCTGATGTGCCCTTTGCACTTTTGCTGATCTTGACCGACACGGGAACCTGGATGTACAGAGACTTGTGGGGTTCATCCCCTACACTCCAAGGCCAGTCTTTGGAGAAAGCACGCTGCCTGGTTGATCTGGGCAGGTGTGAAACAGATGCTGGACAGAAGCAAGCTTCTCACTTCGCCTTCTTTACCTAATTACAAAAAAAACGAACCTTGAAATCCAATACAAAAAAAGATTCTTCAGATACTACAAAGTTTTGCCCATGACATGTGCTTAGAGCAGCAAGTGAAGTTGAAAGAGAGAGTCAAGAGGCGAGGATTGCCGATCATGTCGTGACCAGGGCTTCGGGTCAACGGCCCCAGGATCATGGCTGTGCCGCAATGGAGGATTTGGGCCGATGAGTGGTGCCAGACGGTAGGTTATCGGGCGGGAGTGGTGCCGCGGTCGCGATGAGGCGGAGAGCAAGGCGATAATTGCTTTTGCGACCCGTCGCAGCCAGCATGCCTCTAGCCTGGTGTCTGACGGCCGTGGTCTCGTCTTGGGACACACGAGTTCCGCCGGGGCCACGCCTCTCTTGATGTCGAAACGTCGTGTCTGCATTCCACAGCCCCGTCGCGCAATGCCCGCCGTGCCCGCTTCGTCATAATGCCGCCCGCCAATTCGCCTGTAAGCATGCCTGTGTGTCCGCGACACGGCCGATGTGACCGACACTGCACATCACGACACGAGCGTGGGTGACGGACTGACTGACGGAACGCCCACTATATAGGACCCCGAACCCACCTTCATCTCGGCCCTGCGCGACCTCGAGAGCCCCGTCAACGACGACGTCCTTAATCTTGCCGCAACACTGGGTACCCAGCCTGGCGACGACGCTGACATCGACGGTGACGACACCAGCGACAACCATCACGACAACGCCAATCCCATCCACGACGCCGACGCCCTGGAACGCGCCCACCTGCACTATCTGCGCGTCGCCCACGAGCACGACCAGGTGCGCCTCGAACGGTCCCGCGAGCGCCTGCGCCTGCTGGAGCGACAACGAGACGAGCTGGAGCAGCGGGACAGGCTGCGGCGAGTGATGAGTCGCCTCAGCCGGTTGAGCGACAACAACTATGGCGACCGCGTCCCCAGCCAGAACAGCCTGTACGACTGGTCGCCTGCAAATGAGGCCACCGCCACCGAGAGCTCCCTCCGCTCCACGGCCATTCTGCAGTCGGCCGGCGTGCGCAGACACCCACGCTTCTCTGCCCGCACCAGGGAAGCCGCTTCCACAGAGGCTCCATCACGCCATACCTCGCACCGTACCCTCAGGGAGATGCTTGCCGCCAGAGCCAGCCTGCACAGCGACTCAGTCGAGCGACACCGCGAAGCCACCGCCCGCCACATGTCCATGCAGCGACTATCAGACGGCCGCTCGTCGCCCATGCTCGAGCAAACGGTCAAGTACCTGTCACGGATACGCCACTCAAGCAACCCCGATGAGAGTCTGGAATATGCCCGAGATGCCGGCTTCCTGACAAAGGACTATTTTTGCCTGCAGCACGCCGACTTTGTTGCTGATACCTTCACAATACCACGTCCGACCGAGACGTCATGGCTGGTCCCCGGCGCCGTCCTGTCTGGCTGCCAACATGCAACCACTATGCCCCCTAGTGTCTCCGTCACATCGCGGCACTCTGGGCTCCCCCCGCCTATCCGCCCGTGGATATGGACTCCCTCCGAAGCGCCTACGAGCCGCAGCTCACACTCATCCGAAACACAGCCCCAACAAGATCAATGGCCTGTCAAAGTCACAATACACGACGTCGATTGGGAGGCCATGTCCCTCTCTGCAACCATGGAGGCGTACAACGTGCCCTCGCACCCGCATTCGCACTCCATACTCCCCACCAACGGTAGTGCGCCACCCGTCACGCGCACGTCCTCCATCACCACATACCTCGAAGGCGAAATACTCGACTTTAACAACCATACCCTCCTTACCGAATCGTTCAAATCTAGTGCCGCAAATGACGCAACCTACTGGCGCAAGCTGCCGCCTTTCCAAAAGATGAGCGACGAAGACGTCATCAGGGCATTGACGAGCAAGAAATGGCTTGCCGAGGTTCTGAGCCAGGAATGGATACTGATGCGCTGGAAGGAACGTTGTTTTGTCAAAAGTCTGAACCGCAGCACACAGAATCCCGTAGTACCACCCCCTTCTACAACCACACCTTCCTTCTCGGATGGCTCAGCATCCAACTCGTGGGCTACCACTACCCACATATCTCAAATCCAGCCTTCTCCCTACCGCATTGTGCGCAATGAACGAACTGGCCGCGCCGAGGTCGAAATTACCCCCCAGCCTCTCTTCAACCCTTCACCTATCAACGATACCGAACACGCTACCTTTGACGACTCAGGTTGCGGTCTTACCATAAGCGGGTTCTACTACGTTGCTCTGGATCGGACGAGTGGGAAATTGGAAGGATTGTATTATGATCCACAGAGTAGCCCGTATCAGTGTTTGAAATTGGATAGTGTGAAGGGTGGGTTGAGGAGTGCGTGGGGATTCAGGTAGTGAGGGCAAATGCTTGGGTACGGAGTGCTAGACAAGGTGGAAGGATTTGTTTGGCGCAAGCGAGGGTGTGCTTTAAAATGGTATCATCCCTATATTTTGCATTGCCTTGGGAGTTTTGGAGTCTGTTGGAAATCTCAGGAACGGGAGGGAGATCATGCTGTCATGGCATCATGGCCCCCCGAGGCTTATCATTTCTTTATTCATTTTCTGGGTTGGATCCGAAGGAAAAGGGAAACATGGCAAATACCACCTGCAATTTACATATAACTTACGACGTACAACAAACTACTAGTTTACTTTTATGTCGAAAGGGACTTGCATACAACGAGTCCTTGGGTAGCCTCGAGTACCCTTCATTACCCAACACTGGCCTTGAATGCTACCAGTCATACATACATACACGCTGTACACGCGATATGACATATGTTTGCATGTTGTCATAGCCAATAAGAGAAGTATTAGAATTAGTCCACTGCCCCGCTTTTCCCGCATGTACCAGAAAGAGTCACTGTACGCCTAATGTGTATAAAAAGATTTTGACGAACCACAAACTTTGAATATCAAATACACAAAAGGGAGGTTGTTTCTGCATCGTAGAGCTTGTCTAGGTCTTTCTGCAATAACTATATTACACGATCAAAGAGTGAAAGAAAAAGAACCACAAGACCAAAAATACCAACCAAAAACACCAAACCCAACCATGACTTCTCCCTCCTACCCCAAAACAGCCGTAAACAAACTTGGTCGTCTACCAAACAGAGGTTAGCCCCTTCCCCTTCATCCCCTCCACTTCCCCCAAATTCAAAAAGTCACCGATATATAAAAAATTCTTCCAGGCACATACGACTACGAAACCATCCACAACCTCATAAACCGCACGCCCATCCTCCACGTCTCCTTCACCGACCCAGCCCACCCCTTCCCCGTCATCCTCCCCATGCTCGGCTGCACAGGAAACTTCTCAAACACCCCCAACGACCCCGCCAGCCAAAATATCTACCTTCACGGCTACATTTCCAGCCGCCTCTTCAAATCCTCTGCCTCGCCCTCACAGCAGCAGCAAGCAGAAGGCTCGGAAGAAGAAGAAAACCCGGGCCTCCCTATCACCATTGCAGCATCAAATCTCGACGGCCTAGTCCTCAGTCTGACCCCGTTCCACAATTCGTGTAATTATCGGTCGGCGGTCGTGTATGGGTATGCGAGTCTGGTGGAAGATGAGCAGGAAGCTTTGTGGGCTATGCGCGAGATTACGGAGAATATGCTACCCGGGAGGTGGGAGGGGAGTCGGGTGCCGCCGACCAAGACCGAGGTGAAGAGTACGGGGGTGATTAGGGTGAGGGTTGTTACTGTAAGTTGTTTTCCTTTCTCTTATCTTCTTCTCGGGGGGGGGGGTCTTTCCTTTTTTTCTCCCCCTTCAATAGGGATGTGAAATGGCAATGCTGATGGTGGTATTAGGCTTCGGCGAAGATTAGAACAGGCGGACCGAGTGAAGATCGTGCGGATTTGAAGAATGCGGAGTTGGTGAAGAAGACGTGGACGGGGGTTGTGCCGTATTGGGGGTCGTGGGGGGAGCCGGTGCCTGGTAAGGAGAATGGATGTGAGGAGGTGGAAGAGTATATTGAGAGGTGGAGGGTGGTTGAGAATAATAGAGGGAGGCAGGAGGCGTTTGATGCGACGGCGAAGAAGTAAGTGCGAAGAATATGGATATATGGTAGGAGTTTTTATATTTGGGATAAGTTGTTTGTGTTTAAGTTTAGTATTCTCTTCTTCTCATGTATGCACCCTGGAAAGCACAGAAAGCGGTATTTGATTAAATGAAATCACAAGAAATTTTACAACCGAATCACTCAGCCCTCCTCTTCTGCATACCCACCTTTCTCTTTCCCAGCACATCCCTCCCCTCTTCAATACTCAACATGGCCTCCCTCTTCTTCTCCGTCACCGGCTTCAATGCATCCCTAACAACTCTGCCCTCGACACTTACACCCTCCTCTTCAAACTCTTCCATCTTCTTGCCCACCCGCGCTTCAATCGCCAGCACAAGTTCCACATCTCTTTGTCCAATCAACGTAATAGCCGTACCTACACGTCCCGCACGCGCCGTACGACCAACACGATGGATGTAGTCGTCCGGATCACGTGGCACGTCAAAATTGATGACAAGCGCTACTTCTGGGATATCGAGACCACGGGCAGCGACGTCGGTGGCTACCAGGATACGAGCTGCCTGAGCACGGAATCGTGCTAGGTTGTTCACACGATCGGATTGCTTGAGACCCGAGTGAAGGGCCGTGACGCGGTGGTCAAGCAGGCGAAGCATGTACTCAAGCAAGGTAGCAGTCTTAGTCCGATTGCAGAAGATGATGACGCTTTTTGTGCTGTTGACTGGCGTGTTGAGAAGTACATGGAGGTAGCATTCCTTGTGTGTGACAGGCGTTTGCAGGTACCGTTGCTGGAGACGCGGGGGAATCGCCAGATCCTCTGTATCTACTTCTGAGACGAAAATTGGTAGTCGGCCCGGAGCGCGCGGTTGGTCTTTGAGAGCTAGAACTTCTGGTGTTACAGTTGCAGTGAACAAGAGCGTTTGTCGGGTTTCTTTGGGCGGAAGCACGGATAAGCATGTTTCGAGATCGGGTAGCATGGAGCCCTTTCCTGGAGCAAGCAGACGATCGGCTTCATCAAAGACAACGAATCGCACGCGCCGCAAACCGCAGATGGTGTCTTCACCAGAGGTTCGGATGTGTTCTGCAAGTCGACCTGGTGTTGCGATCACAACGTGGGGTCGCGAGGCAAGTTCAATAGCTTGAGCGCGTTGGTCTGAACCTCCTGTAATCAAGATTGGTTTCATGGACTGAGGGGCCGAGATGGCCTTGACTTGCTCATAGATCTGGATCGCAAGTTCGCGTGTGGGTCTACATGGCCGTTAGCATAATGTTTAGCTGATTTGTTTGATGCCACTCTTGTCGCATCACAACATGACAAGGTGAAACTCACGTGATGATGACTGCAAAGATTCCGCTTGGATCCTCTGCCCATTTTTGCAGAATGGGCACTGAAAACGCGATAGTTTTACCAGTACCGGTTCTTGAGCCTCCTATACAGTCTTTTCCTTTCAAGATCTCGGGGATACAAGATGCTTGAATACCTGTTGGTCGCTTGATCGCCATGCTGGCGAGAGAGGCAACGAGCCATGGCGCTACATTGAGTGAAGCAAAACTGAGCTTTTGGTTCACCGCAGGAACATTGGCAGCTTGAGAAGGCGTGTTGTTACTTTGCGCGCCATTGGTCCTTGCTTTGACGCGCGAAATGGTTGCTGGTGCTACTTGGAGTGGCTTCGGGGCCGGTTGAGCTTCAGTCTCTGAAGCAGAACTTTCAGTGCAATCGGCAGGCGAGAGTCTCCTCCTTTTCCTCGCCCCAGACTGGGCCTCCAATATCTCTTGATCGGACGCACCGGAATCGCTGTAGTCGCTAGTCGTCATATTGTGGTTGTTGGTTGTTTTCAGAAGGCCAATCTTCGACTTGGCTTCTGAGATTTTGTGCAGGGATACCGCACGCTAATCTTATCGATAACGCCACGTGAAGCTGGACTGGGACCAACCATTGTGAATCGTACTATCACATCGCTGCATGATTCAAGATGTGCTTTTTGACCGGAGGTCGCGAATTCCGCGAATAAACTTTGAACAAGAATCTAAGTGAAAGAATATGTGTATACGCCCAGATATGCATCCGCATCACGCCCAGCTCAGGATCACGACAGCTTCAGTTCAGTCCATCTACAACCCATTGGCGAATCATTTGCCATCTCTCCTATACCTGCAGCAACTCTCTCCACATAGGCAGGATTTGTCCAACCCAGCCCAGTACTTGTCGCCATAGTCCAGTGTGATTTCTGAACCAGCTTCAATTCCTTTACTGACAAGTACCACCCTTTGGGTATCCAGCCAGGCAAATGTCGAGCACTGCGCATTAGGCTTGCAGCTATGGTTGATGAAGCGCGTATAGTTTCCCACTCTTCCTTGCCAGATTTGGTAGCTAGTTGATTGCGTTGAGCTATCCATCACGTCAAGATGCCTCATGCCCTTTGTGATTAGGCCAACAAGTTCGCCGATGCCGGTACCGCGATCGAAAGATGTTAAAGCGACTAGCCCATTGTTCTTGCCATCTGGAGTGCGGTATACCTGAACGGGCGGCGGCTTGCGTTTTATACAGCCAAACAGCAATGGGAAGCAGAAACAAGTGTTTTCCTTCGGATCATCCGATTGGTGCTCGTTACACAGTGCGCAGACATACGCACCGCCTGGTCTTGCGATGACGTTCGTTTGTGGCGTCCACCTTGGGTCCTCGCATCCCCAGACCGATTCATCGATTACTGATTCGTCAATTTGTTCGAATGAAAAGTACGGGTCTTGGGTCAAATATGTCTGACGTAAAGGTATCGGATCAGACCCGTCCTCAAACACGACCCATTCGTGTGGATGTCCGGGGTATTGAAGGGTTGCTGACTCCCCCACAATTGCCAGCAATTGCCGCCAATGAGGATGAAGAGTATCGGCTGCTACTTCCAGTCGCTTTCGCAGGTTTCTAAGGCGTCGCATAGCGTCATTGTCGAATCCGACGCGGTACTTGCAGAAACGGTAGATGCCCATACCGGCAAACACAAGTGCGGCCCAGCCTGCGGCATCTTTCACTTCTTTGTAGCCTCTCCAGATTGCCATCTTGTTTCGCAATTCCTTTCTACAGCAGCATTGTCAGCAATCGTCATCAAAGCCTTTCACCACAGCAACATCTTGCACTTACTCGGACCAGGCAAAATCTTGGCATGCCTCCATGAAAACGGCCTTTCTATGTTTTGTCGTCGACAGCTCTGGCCTCGTTTGACTACGGTATTGCACCTGCTCTTCAAAAAGCTCAGTCCACCGGGCTTGTACAATCATCTCAATCGACCGGCATACGCGGCTTGCTTGTGTAACTTTGCGACAAAATGTGTTCATTTGACTGAAAGAGTTACACACTGTGCTCGCTGCGCTATTGAGCACCGTCATCGTGGCAGGTGTGGCGTCTGATTGCGCGTGTCGAACAATGTCCATTGATGACCCATTAGGTGCAACTTGAAACTGTTCAAATATCGCTTTCGGATCCAGATTGATAGAGCCATGAACCTGCTCCCAAATACCAATGATGAGTTTGTCTAGAGTAGAAGGTTGGAAGACGAATTTATCCGAGGCGACCTTGAATTGTCAGTATGTTTTGATCTGCAGGTGGCTTTGCTGGTAACACTGAATAGTCACCTGACAAGTTTGAATCAGGCGATCAACAGCAGGCCTTCTATTCGAGAAGGCCCCGCAAATATCGAGCTTTGGTAACATGCACGTACTTTTTTTCTTTTCGGAAAGCTTCGGCTATCAATCTGCATTTGCCGCTGATGTTCGCTAAGATCTTCCTGAAATGAAGACTGCTTTTGAGATACTCTTAACCCGCCAGTACCTTTCCTGCGGTTTTCCTGCTGCTGCTCCTCCTCCCTCGATGGGTAAGGGCTTTCCTGAAAACGAGGTTCATCGGTCGGCGAGGTTTCATCACACTCTCGATCATCTATTGCCGGACTTTGTGTCGGGGCAGGGGTTCTCATGCCCGTTAAATCTACTGTTTGCTGCATGTGTGTTAGAATGCGCCACTTCACGTGAGAGCTGCGATAGTAGTAGATGGTCCAACATACCGATGCTATTCTCTCGGATCGCGCTCTTACTCCATTGTCGTTGCCAGCTTCCTCGAGGAAAGCCTCAACGCGAAGGATAGGGTGATTAAGACTATCCAGCTGTGGCCACGCAACATTGATGTTGGACTTGGCGAGGTGCTCTTGTATAGCTCGGCTGATACATTCTGAGAGGCCTTCAACGTCTGGTATCGCAGTCATCTCGTGATTCTTATAGCTATACCTCGCTAATGCAAAATAAGGCTGTCGGAGTATCACCCGCCACTAAGGTCGCTTCGCTAGATGAACAGCACGCAAGAGGTAAGCTGGTATCCACTGCGCCTGAATGCCAGATTCCCGTCGTACAGGTACCTCCGAGGAACGACGGGAGACCCCAATGGAATTGCTGCGGTGGCGAGACGCGCGGAAAACGCCCGATAGGCGAGAGAGACGGCTGTGGCTCAGCTGAGGTTTCGTGCTGCTCAGCAACACTTTGGTCAATTAATCCCTACACACTCAATGACGTTGTGACATGGGGGAGCGGGCTGGGCAGAACCGATGGGGTTGTAGATGGAAATTCTGCTCAAGCAGCAGAAGCTCGGGGGGAGCGGAAACGCTCTGGAGGCTATGTGCATTAAGCTTGGCTTCGGTCGTGCTCCCGGTCCACTCTGCGTCATCCGAACAGTTGTAAGGGTCCTCTTGCGCCAGCCTTTTTGCACCCAAAACGTGTCAGATACCATGTAGGAGGCTGTCAGAAGCTTAATTTTACTCACAAAAGATTATCGAAAATACATTCCGCTCGGTTGAATAGTCGTACTTGCTGCTCAATTCTGCCCGAGCAGTCGAGCTGCTGTCAGGCCCCCTGTTTTAGCCAGCATAAAAAGTGGAGACTAACCGTCGAACTACAACGCGATCGTCTGCTTACCGGCAAACGTCATCAAACCACCATATTTTTTGGTACTAAGAAATGCTTAATCACAAAACATTTGACATGAGAAAAAATAAGGCATGGGCGAGGAATTGGTCCTTGTGCCTTGCTGATAATTTCTGTTCCTTCCACTCAATAAGCGTAATGTAGTGTAACTTTAACGGATCGATCGCTAAAGTCTGCCGAACAGCCCTACGATGTAAAACTAAGTTACCCACATTTACCAAGCCGTGGCGCTGCATTGATGATCGTAGCGGACTAGGTACCGCAATCGGATTGACATTGTATATATATGCTTAGAAACTCAATGTCCAGGATGGGCCGTCTATCGCATCTAATCCGACAGCAATAACGTGACGCGCCTCTGTGCATTTACCAGTGGCCTTACAATTCAGTCTCGTTCTTCCAAGTAGCCGTATCTTTTACTTGATTTTTGTACTGTTGCATCGTTCATTGTTGTGCCGATGGAGTCGTCAGGCGCAACGGGTCGGAACAGTAAACTGGAAAGGATCGCGACTCGAGAATCCTATACTTTCCAAGGACAAAAAGGATGGCGGAGATGGCGTGTACTCCAGCCTGGTCGAGGCATGTATCACGATGTTAAGCGGAGACTGCCATACTACTGGAGCGATATCACGGACGCCTTCACTTATCGGGCTTTTGCAAGTACGGTCCGCATGTACTTTGTCAAGTAAGTAACTTCACTCAGAAGGGCATATACGTACTTACGGCAGCAGTGTGTTACCTGCTCTTGCTTTTACACTCGACATGTATCGTCGCACTGGTGGATTCTTCGGCGTCAACGAAGCCCTGTTTTCATCAGCGTTGGCAGCAATGGTATTCAGTCTACTCTCATGTCAACCGTTGACAATCGTTGGCGTAACCGGTCTGATTGCGCTGTTCAACTATACCATCTACGATATCATCACACTCTACGAACCCAGTATATATCCGGCATTCACAGCCTGGGTCGGTATCTGGGCTGCCATTTTCCACTGGATTGTGTCGTTCGGAAACTTTTGTGATTACATGGCTTATGTTACCGACTTTTCCAGCGAAACATTCGGCTTGTATGTTGGTATTATTTATTGTGGTATGTAGACCTCGAGCTCTTATCGTAAGGCTTGTTGCTGATTTCCCAATAGTCAAAGGTGTTGAGGAGCTTATCTATCTCTTCGAAGCCTCGGAATTTGAGGGTGGCTACCTCTCTATCGTCATCGCGATTCTTTACTTTGGCTCTGTCTACGGTCTCGAAAAGCTTGGAGGCAGCACCATCTTCAACCCTTTCGTACGTGATATTCTAGCAGACTACTCTTTCGTCTTTCCTACGCTGTTCTGGGTCGGCTTTTCGCATATACCCGGACGATTGAAAGACACCGACATGTATCGTGTTCCAATTGTAGGGGCTTTCCAGCCGACTCAGGATCGCGATTGGGTGATAGACTTCTGGAATCTTGATGTCAAGTGGGTATTTGTAGCTCTACCGTTTGGGTTCTTGATGATGTTGCTATTCTACTATGATCACGTAAGTCTCAAATCCTTCTTTCTGCCTTCATCCGAATTGACATCTCCTTATAGAATGTTTCTTCCCTTACCGCACAAGCCCGCCAATACCCCCTCAAGAAACCCGCTGGCTTCCACTGGGATTTCTTCCTACTTGGATGTACCTGCTTCGTCAGTGGTGTTATCGGGCTTCCTCTTCCCAACGGTCTCGTACCTCAAGCACCAGTGCATACCGACTCCTTAACCATATACGAGACAAGGCTCAACATTACGGAGACCAAAGATGGCCACGAGATTCGCAAACCAGAGGTTGTAGCTATTGCTGTGGTTGAGCAGCGAATTAGCCATTTCCTTATGGGCATGGCCATTTGGGGTACTATGACAGGTCCCCTGCTCATCGTCCTACATACCATGCCTGCAGCAGTCTTTGCGGGTGTGTTCTTTGTCGTTGGTGTATGTATCCACTACCACATATCCCCTTGCTCGCCTACTCCGTAACTAACCATTGTCCAGTGGGGCTCCATAGAATCGAATGGTATCTTGGCCAAGATATGGTACCTAATGTCCGAAAGACGCTTTCTTGATCCGCAAAACCCCCTCAACACCGTCTCTCGCAAGAAGATCGGTCTCTTCATCTGTATTCAAATCCTGGGCGTTGCTTGCACAGTTGCCATTTCCCAGACGATTGCCGCTATTGGTTTCCCGGTGCTTATCATTGCTCTTATTCCCTTGCGCACTTTCTACATGCCAAAATGGTTTTCCGAGCAGGAATTGGGAGTGCTAGATGCACTGACCGCCGATAATCCAGCTGTGTTGGTCAGCTTTGGTGGAACACCAAGTGGCATGAAGGGCAGTGGTGTCGGTGTTGAAACAAGAGATGAAGAACAGGGTGATGTGGAGAAGGCAGACAGTTCTGCGTTACAGAGTAGGCCACCAAGTGCTACTAGACAGCGTGAAGGTAGCATTCATAGATAGAAAGGGGTACAATAGGAGCTCTTAGACAGACCTGGCGACGTTACAGCCAATTCAAAGGAACAAGAGTTGAGTTTGTAGTTAGGAGTAGAAGTAGAATTTGAAAAACTCGACAGGGAGAGAGCATTCTTTCAAGTAAATAATTTTAATAATATCAATCACCACAGTACTCATCCAAAGCCAGCCGTCTTGACTAATATTGTCGAGGTTCCAAAATTCTTACGCCCGTCACACATTTACATCTCGTTTTTCTTGCTGCTTCCCCCAAAAGACCCCATCTTGATCAGGCCAAGGACTTCGTTGAACTATTTTCCGACAGAATCCCATCAGATATACATGCATAAAAGCACACATGACTTGAAATCTTAAATCTTTTCGTCAGAATTGCATAGAGCGAATTTATCACAGTATCTTGTTACATTAGAATATAAGAGAGGCTTCTATGTACAACGTGATATCTTGAAAAATCAACAGCGGATGCTCTTTCTTTTGTCAAAGGATACATCCTTTGATACAAAATACTGGGCTAGCTACTTAACTAACGAGATCTCTTCTGGTTTAAATAAAGCAGTCAGTCCTTCAAGATACCAATGCTTATTTTGCCTGGGAGACTGTAGTATAAACGAGGAATATTGAAGAGTAAGTTGCACGGCGATTGGATGTAAAGCGGTGATTTGATTACAAGTATTAAAATAAGAGGAAGGGATATATCTTGGTGCCGATGCTGCTGGTACTAATTACTCATTGAGGCTGTCCATTGTCGCTATTCTTAATGTGTTGACCGTGACATAATGATACGATTTTTAGAGGGAAAAAGCCCGTGTATAGACAAACTAGGTAGTGCATCAAGACGGGAATTCCCGTTTGTATGTTTTAATTGATTCTTCTAGATAAGACGTGAAATGGTCCTACTACGATGCATGCGGTTTCAATGTGCTTCAGCAGTAAAAAACCTGACTCCCTTGATATGGAATAAATACATAAAGTCTATGGGTAGAATCTACGCGTTGCTACAAGGAAGAATTTCTTTTAAAATGCAGTCAGTTTGGCAAAGTCATCGGTAGGTGTAAGATGCAATAAAGAATTCGTTATCATTACTAAACGCTAGAAGAACTCCCCTAACCAAGTAACCCTGTGCAGTCTATAAAGAAGAAATCGCTGAAACGACTGCCAAGCAATCTTTATCTCTGGAACAAAACCTCTGTAACTCCAAGCCGGCACCAACGTATCCACGCCTCAGTCCCTGCTCATCTTGATGCCGTACTCGGAGAAGAAGTGGCACTGCTTGTTATGAATGACATCAGACGTGTCTTCCTTGAAGATATTACATCCGAACGTAGCTGCATTAGGCGGTGTATACACTGCGATAGATTAGCAAGCAACTCGACACCCAATTTCACAGTTCAGCACTGACAATGTAGAGAAACGGCGTAGTCAGTCGGATCAGGGTTGGAGATGCGGTGTGTACCCAGATTATCCGCCATATATGTGACCTCATTCTCCGAGTACGTAGTCTCACGAATCTTCTTCATTGGGCGATGGTTTTTCACATCTTCATCTGAAGGAGTGGCGAAACGGGTTTCGGTCAGGCGGCCCTTGAGCACCTTCATGATGCAGTGTGCGTTGGCGTGGCTGTAACAGCGTTAGCATCCGGTTCGGGGTTTGTCGAGCTGCATGCATCGGTAAATGCAAGGTCGACATGTAGACGTGGTTGTTTCGGAAATGGTGACGGGGTTTGTCGGAGTATGGTTCGTCTTACCGGCATGTCTCCTGTACTGACGCAACGATCAATCGATCGGCGAACACAGTCGCTTCATCGTACAGAAGAGCAAGGCCATGGACTGCGAAGGGTTGGAGTCGGGATCGTTGGGGCGACGACGGAGTTGGTGGCGGGTAACTAGTGTTAATCACCAGAGGATGTATTTACTTACTCGTGAATCGGACTCTTCTTACCGGGCCCCCATATCAGAATAAGCTGTGATGTTAGCAGGACATAATGGCCGAGATGGCTGAAATCATACCAGATTGCTCTTGCCGTTACCCTTGTCTACCAGGTTGCGTGTGTAGGGGACTTTGTCTGAAGCAAAATAGTATCTCTTCCACTCTGACTCATTGGAAACGTAAGCCTCCATGAGCTGCTGAAGCTCGTTCTCGTCTACATCTGCAGAGTCAATACCACTGCTAGGCCCGAGTTTCTCATTGATAGCTTCAACGAGAGCGCGGAATTCGTCGACTTCTGTGTTGCGGCCAATCATTCTGACAACGAGCGATGCGCAAAAATTAATGTGTTGCGGAACTTGTCAGTTGTTTTGGTACGATGATGAGTTGAAAAGATGGAGCAGTTTGGGTGCAGAGAAGAGTGTGAACACGGTTTTGTAACTGAAAGGGCGGTCTAAGCAAGGCAATCGTGGTGATGTTGGGAAGCTGCGCGTGTGCAGGCCGTGATTTCTTATTATGTAACTATCTGCGGGCTCTAAAGCTTGTGCTGTGCGGAGGCGGTCAGTAGTCGCCGTCTTTGGATACACCCGATACGATGTGTTCTGAGCAAATAGGTGTTTTCGGCGACCCAAACCCTCACAATCGGCTTCTATCGGGCATATCAGCTTGGAGCAGGAACCATGGAAGCATGCATAGAAGCCAAGATAGAAGGTTGCTGCATGATCACGCTAACCACATGAAGTGGCGGTGAAAAGTACTGCCGGAAAGCCGTGCCCCGCTTCGTCATTGGTGGGCTGGCGTCACTCACGTCAAATTTCTGAACAACCACATTGCCTCTCTACATCGACCACATAGCAAGGAGAGGGTAGAAATCACGTCAAAATGTCGACTACAGTGGATAAGGTTAGTGTTGAAGCAGGAAAAACGATGTCACACTCTTTGCTAATGGGGTGAAATAGATCAAGGAGATCGAGGCCGAAGTAAGGCATATCCGTGGAACGATTGTCGGAGCGCTACTCACACGAACTGTAGATGGCCAAGACTCAGAAGAACAAGGCGACGTCTTTCCATCTTGGTACGGGACTCTGATCGAACAAGGCATGCCGACATGCTCACCACATAAATAGGACAACTAAAGGCGAAGCTCGCTAAACTGAAGAGGGAGCTTCTTGAGCCCTCGAGTGGCGGTGGCGGTGGTGGTGTCGGATTCGATGTTGCCAGGACTGGTGTTGCCAGTGTCGGCTTCATTGGATTTCCCTCGGTGGGCAAGAGTACGCTCATGAGCAGATTGACAGGACAACACTCGGAAGCGGCCGCTTACGAATTCACTACGGTATGGGAAGCAAATGCGGTGTAACCGCCAGTGACTAACAGTGAACAGCTCACTACTGTGCCTGGTCAAGTCATGTACAACGGAGCGAAAATCCAAATTCTCGATCTTCCCGGTATCATTCAGGGAGCGAAAGACGGTAAAGGTCGTGGACGACAGGTTATTGCCGTGGCAAAGACATGCCATTTGATCTTCATTGTTCTGGACGTCAACAAGCCTCTCACGGATAAGCGGGTGATTGAGAACGAATTGGAGGGCTTCGGGATCCGTATCAACAAGAGTCCACCAAACATTGTGCTGAAGAAGAAGGACAAGGGTGGTATTAATATCACCGCCACGGTTCCACTTACACATATTGATCACGGGGAGATCAAGGCTGTGCTAAACGAATATCGAATGGCAAACGCGGATGTGGCCATTCGATGCGACGCGACGGTGGATGACCTGATTGACGTTATCGAAGCGAAGAGTCGAAGCTACATCCCGGTCATTTACGCGCTCAATAAGATTGATGCGATTAGCATTGAGGAGCTCGACTTGCTGTACCGAATCCCGAATGCCTGTCCTATTAGCTCGGAGCACGGGTGGAACATTGACGAGCTGCTGGAGCAAATGTGGGAGAAGCTGAATCTGGTTCGCGTCTACACCAAGCCCAAGGGTAAAATGCCCGACTACTCTGCACCAGTGGTATTGCGATCAACGGCATGCACTATTGAGGATTTTGTATGTAAATTATTTGCAATGGTGGACCAGGGGCTAACTGCAAGCAGTGTAACTCGATCCACAAGACGATTGTGGACAACTTCAAGCATGCGATTGTGTACGGAAAATCTTGCAAGCATCAGCCCCAGCGCGTGGGACTGTCACATGAGCTTGCCGACGAGGATATTGGTAAGTAGATGACTGTATTGCCCCCGCTTTGTGGAGTTTTGTGGGCTCACGTGTTGGCCAGTTACAATTGTCAAACGATAGAAGCAGAAAAGTCGCAATTTTGAGGCATGACAGGAGATGGTACGGGAGGCTGTGGATCCGGGTTAGGATGGGGTGAGATGAGTGGAAGGCGAGATTTGGATGGCTGAGGAGGTCTCAGTGTCCAGGGCAAGATTGGGTCGCAGCAGGCAGGATGAGGCGCAGAGAGAGGCGTGGAGCCGAGATGGCGACTTGTATTGGCCAAGAGCTGGATCCAGTAGCAGGACGGACGACAGATGAGGACGAGACTAGGAAGGCAAGGCCGCTTACGGCGGCGCGGATCGTACCTGCCAATTGCTAAGAGAGTATGTACTTGGGGGACTAGTGGGCGGACCGATACCGTCGTCCGCGGGGTGTTGAGCAGCAAGCAGCACGAGTGATTTGAAGGGCTATGGAGAGGACGTGGCACAAGCAGGCAAGTGCAGGGCAAGCAGTGGTGATTTGAAGTGCAGACAGCACATTTTGGGGGTTGACGTGTTGCAGTGGGATTTTGTTTTTTTTTCTTCTTCTCGCGTGTTGTCGATATTTGGACGTGAATGGAAAGGCATTTGATCAGCAGTGCAAGTGCAAGGCCCAGTTTTTTTTTTCACGGCATGGATTTGGGGGATTGGTGTAGACGACTAACGGAGGCAGCGGACGATTCAGAGAAATGAGCAGGGGGAGGTTTGCGCTGGCGACTCAGAGGGCGGGCTGTCAGTCGGGCGCTAAGGGATTATGGCAGCCGGGGCCTGAGTGGCTGGCGGGCAAAAGCTAGTGCGGATGAGTGGTGTTGATGGGCGCGATTATCGCAGCATTCCGAAAGCGTTTCAGCCGTCGACAGTTTGCGTGTCTCCTTTATGCACCGCCGATGATTGACGTGGTGGCGGCGCGGTGGGAATCGCCACTGGCTCGCGTACCTGAGCAGCGGCGGCGTCGGCGGACGGCGGGTGGAGGGCAGTGTGCGGTGGGTGGCCTTGGGGAGGGATGGGATGGGTAGGGGAGGGGATGGCATGTGTGTGTGTGTGTGTGGTCGTGGGGAAGCGTCAGATTAGCCGGGGGTGAAGGAGAGGAGGGCCATATGAGCAGAGCAGTAGTAATAGCAGCAGGTAAGTAGCAGCAGGTACCATGGCGTACATAGATAATGCAGCAATGGTCAGCCAGGCAGTACATTGTACTTAGCTACGGCCATGGGGCGTCCATCCATACATACGTAAGTACATAGTGACATGGTCGCGGTCGAGGCATGCACCGGCGAGCTAGCCCCGGCGGCCGCATAACTCTGGCCCGCGTTTTCCTAGGGGCGCATCCGCGATGAGAGACCCGCACGCGCTAAGCCCAACGTTGCAGCTCGTCGCTTGGCCGGGACGGCGACAGGGATTCGGGGATAGGGTGTGGGTGGATGTGGATGTGGATGTGTGTGCGTCTGTGTCTGTGTGTGCACACGCCAGGCCGCCAGGCTTGCCGGCAACCTTGGGCTCGAAACAAACAGGGCGTCCTCTCCCGCCAGCTGCGGTAGGCCGCGCCCGCATCGCACCGCCAGGGCCCTGCGACCACCACCGTCCCCAGACTTGTCCTCAAGTACGCGCCAGCCCTTCCCTGCAACCCTCGCCCCATCAGCCATCAGCCATTCTCCATCCATCCATCCATCCATCCATCCATCCATCCTCTCCACCCGCCTTTGTACCTGGCTGCTGTACATACATACATACATTACCTACCTCCACCCACTCACCCACCCACCCACACATCCACTCATAACTACTTGCATACTACATACCCATCCCTCGTCCCATGCATGCATGCCCTCGCTACACTACTACCACTACCACTACTACTACTACCACCACCATCACAACACTCCCCACGCCCTAGATGCATATGCCTCAAGCCCTCTACTCCCTCTGACCTCTGTATAACACGGACACTTGCTCCCACGCTCGTGCCCCCATCCCGCCTGCAATAGTTCCTTCCCTTTCCAACAGCCCGCCATGAGCCAACTGCACATGGATCACGACCATCACCTCCACCAGGAGCCCTTTGAGGACCAACATTCGGCCTGGCGCCCAGATGCTCCCTACAACCCCCACCACCAGTCGCCCGTCCAGGACTACAATGGCTTCGCCACATATCCGCCCCTTCCCATGGAGCCCATCTACGCCACTGGCATGCACCCTCCCCACCAAACCCACCAGACTCCGAGAAACACACATCCTCAGTTGCAGCCCCTGATCATGCCCCAGATGCCGCAATGGCCCAGCATGCTCACCAGCCAGTCGACATACCAGGCGCCACTCTTCCCCTCGGCGCCTCCACCCATTACACCCGCTTCAGCAACGCCAGTCTCGGCCACTTCAACCCAGTCCCGCACTTCATCCACGCCTCGAAAGACCCTTACAGACGCAGACCGCAGGCGCATGTGCCAGTACCACGAGGACAACCCCACAGTCAAGCAAACGGAAATTGGAGGTACGCCCAGCCCATGAGCCCAAGTCTGTGTTTCCCTCAGTGCATCACTGACGATATAATCTAGCAATGTTTGGCGTAGAGCGAAGGTACTGCTGCATTTACCTTGTGCATTTTTCCGCCCTGCTAACAGCTGTCTAGTACCGTTTCCAAAGTCTTGCGCCAAAAAGAAAAGTACCTCTACCAAGATGATGGCAGCCGATCGCCCATCAAAAGATCAAAGGGCAAGTTTCCCGATATTGAGCGTGCACTTTCAAATTGGGCGAGAAACCACCAAAGGCAAGGCCTGCCACTGTCGGATGCCATTATCCGCGATAAGGCACGCTTCTTTGCACAGACCGTCGGCAACTCGGACAGCCACCTCAAGGCCAACAGCACCAGCTGGCTGGAAAAGTTCAAGCAAAAGAACCACCTCATGGGTGCAAAGTCAAGAAAGGGTTCCATAGCAGAAGAGTCTGAGGGAACCTCGAATCCGCCGTCCAACGCGCACACTCCCAATGCCATCTCGCCAACCTCGCCAGGTAGAGTATCACCGGCCACTACGACCATGAAGACTAAGAAAAGCGAAGAGAACCTAAAGACCGAAAGCCCAGACACGTATGACTATGGAACTCATCGCAGGCCCTTCCATTCCCAGAGTAGTACTTCACTATCGAGCGTCTTCACAGACAATGCGCCCTCGACCTTTTCAGGCGGCCCCACGAGCCCTACATCGCTCTCGTCGCCATTCTTCACACCAGATTCGGCCTGTGGACAGAACAATCCATTCATGGCGAATCGCCAGCCTGCCAATGGACAGCCCGGGTCAGGCAACTTTCAGCGGCCGCGAAGCCAGACGTTTCCCATGCTCGTGGGCGTGGAGCAATACATGTCACCCCCGGGCTCCTCAGATGCATTGACTCCAAAGTACGTCAGTAGCGGCACACTCGACTCGCCCATGGCGGATATGCCTGGAACCCTACCCGCCATTGACGAATCCATGTCGCTATCGCCTACACAACTGCCCAACTCGATGCAACCCCCTCCCCTGCCGACTACGTCGGGCCAAGCGGACGACAAGTGCTCGTCGTGTACCGACTCGTTGTCCATGACACCATCGCAAGAGGAAGCGGCACGGGCCCTGGAGCTCGTCATGAGCTTCTTCCAGTCGCAAAACGCGGGTTTCGTGGTGGAGCCACAAGAATACGTTACCATTGGCAAGCTCATGGAGAAGCTGCGAATCAAGCGTGACTCCGAGGGCTTGTCCTCTGACATGCGACGGGTGTCAGAGTCCAACTTTGCCACCAGCAAGCTTGAGAGCGTCGACGCGATCCACTAATTGGGCGGCTGCGTCACTGGGTATCATGTCTGGCCCTGTGCGCCCTTAATGCGCCTATGATTTATTTTATTCCGTGGAACGGCTTTTGTCGATTCGCTTGGTTTCAGGATGGCAGGATTGCACAAGGCTCATGGATCATGAGGCCAAGGGTTTTCGATGCACCCTGCCCAAACGGCTAACATTGCTCATTGGAGCCACTCTTTTTTCTTTTTGATTCATTTTCCTTCTGTTACTCTGATGCACCGCATTTTCGTCTCCGCATTATTAGCATTCTTTTTTCTTCTATTCTCTTTTTCAACTTATTCTCTCTCTCTCTTTTTACTACGTGCTAACTATTGCCTGTCTGTCTTGTTTTTTTTTCTCGTTTTCGTATCACTCGACGAACCACTATACCCCCACTTTGGCAGCGCGCAACAACAGCACACCGGCACACAGCCCAATTTCCGACTCATTCCTTTAGCAAAAAAAAAGATTGTAACCGCTCGCGCGGGCCATTAACCTGTACGCGTTACCTTAGTGTCTCCATTATTGATTTCATATTTGCTTGGTATGGCGACATTATAGTTTGGAGTAACAGAGTGTGAAGGGAGCAAAGGGTTTCGTACACGTCGTTGTGACCCATAGGTGGCTCGATACAGTTGCTCAACCCCCTTGCCCAGGCTACTGGCTGATTGTAAGGGTTGTTTTATGCTTTGAAATGTTATTAATGCTTAGTACGACTGCGTACGCTTGTGCCTGGTGTCCTTGAGTGCTAGTCATTTTCCTTGACCTTAAGCCTTTAGTCGGCAGCGCTGGGGTGTTTGGAGCGGGAGCAAAGCACTGACGCACTGACGCACTCGACTGATCGCCAGACGGGCCTGCGCTTGTGAACAGATGGTACTTGCCGCTCGGCCTCTCGGAGCCCGTGCACCTTCCGGCCACCTCGACCGCCCGCGCACGCACGCAGGGCCCCCCGTTTGCACAAGGGATGGGCGCAAGGTAGCAAAACATCCACCCAAAGGTACCTCGACCTGTCTGTTGATCGTGCCGGAGATTAGCCACACTGAGCAAGTCCATCCTGAAGCCTCCCCTCTCCTCCATCTATCTATCCCTACACACTAAGTGCCCGTTCAAATACGCCGATGGGGACTATCAGGCGGCTCTTTTTTGCCCTTTTCTCTCTCTTTCCTCCGCCGTTGGCAGCAAGCTCACGAACCCCCCCCCCGGTCCCGAAGCACTGACCCGCTTCACACCTAACACATTG